ACGCGAAATAAACCAATATCCAGAGTTATTCAGTTACTCCTAACAGTACATTGACTGAACTGCTAAAAGAGAACCGATGATGGGATGTGCACGAGCAGAGCAGCTGGACTGAGTCTCGTCCTGCTGGGAGACGGCATCACAGTATGCTAAGGGCCGTAACATTTCCGTCACACGCTTGACGTATTCGGCCAATCACAACGCACTGGATAGCTGGCCAATCAGAGCACACCTCGCTTTTTCAGACCGATGAGCTTTGTAAAAATCGACGCATTTCAGAAAGGCGGGGCATAGAGGAGAAACAATAATGTACATTATATGGAAAATAATGTGTTTATAATAATATAATGTGTCCGCATAAACACATTGCATTACACCAAATACACAACATAATGTTCTTTTTAGCAACGTCATATGACCCCTTTAAGTGTCATTGTTCAGTGCTGTTCTTATTGAGACTCGAATCTGAGCAAGAGGTTGTATTTATTCAGTACGTTCAGTCACTTAAATGCTTCTTGACAGCACTCTCTTGAATGCTCTTTGCTCTTTCTAAAGTCATATTTTGATATCTCTCCTCTGTGAAGCACATGATTGTTTTCCTGCCTTCAGTGAAAAAGAATATTACTTTCAATATTGTTTCAAAAACACTGAATGAGTCCGTGCATAGAAGTGAATGAAAATTATTTGTTCATGTACAAGATTTGTTTAAAAACTCAATGTGAGCCAGTAGATAGAAATGAATAAGATATATTCAATAACACTGAATCAGTGAATAGTGGTAATAATAGTTTGTTCGTTTACAAGATTTGTTTAAAAACGTTGTATATGAGTCACTGCATAGAAGTAAACAAGAACTATTTGTTCACTTACAAGATTTGTTCAAAGACGCTGAATGAATCGGTACATAGAAGTGAACGAGAATGATTTGCTCATTTACAAGATTTGCTCAAAAGCACTGACTCGTTCACAAACAAAACACCACTAGGTCTCTTCATAAGATCAGCCCAGGTAATGAAATGTACGGCTCCACCCTTTATGGTCCATTTACAATTCACTTCCTGCCCACTTTGGCAGATTGACCTCTTGATAAAGATGCTTTTGTTTGGTAAACTAGAATGACCTCATTTGTTACACCTCCTCTAGGCCTGCTGCCAACAAGTTCCACAGTATGTTCAGACACAGCTGCTCTGAGCGCAAAAACCCAGGACTGCCATAGTTTGAGCCGAACCATCTTTCTCAACCTCATTCACACTCTTGTTTCCACAGATGGCTGTGATCTGGCCATCCCTGAGACCTCAGACAACAGCAAGAAGCTGATGGTGAGGACACGCAGCAAGAGGAAGTTCCTTTTTAAAGTATCAGAGGAGGAGCGGCTGCAGCAGAGAAGGTCAGGTGGCTTCAGGAGTAAATCTCTCACACTGCCACACTCCTGCGCTGCTCCTAATCCATGTGACGTTGTTACCGTTTTGTTCAATAGGGAGATGCTGAGGGATCCTGAAATGAGATCCAAGATGATCTCCAACCCCACCAACTTCAACCACGTTGCTCACATGGGGCCAGGCGACGGCATGCAGGTCCTCATGGATCTGCCTCTGGTAATGTCTTGAAGTTGGACATTGGGAGATCAGCTTCAGCTATTTTGATTTTATTTAAATGTATAAACACACTTGGCCCTTGCTTGGTAACATACAGTTGCCATTTTAAGCTGAAGACTTTTTGAAATCCCCATCCTGCCAATACCAGTGTCACCACTGTGCCTTTGAGCCCAGGTTTCAGTAAAGCAGTGTTTCTGAACTCTGCTGCCTGAGTTCCCTCCACACTCGCCCAATGGAAGTGTCTCACTAATCTGACATATCCAATTCAGGTCACGAAGCCACTACTAATAAGCCAGTTACTTGAAGCAGGTGTTTTTGCTAAAAGATTTCACATGTGCGGTGCTAGTGGATCCCCAGGAGCAAATTTGAGAAACACTGTTCTAATTACGACAGGGATCCGAGAACCACTTTTTATTCAGACCATTTTCATTTTAATTCATACCATGGAACAGAACATAATTTTTCTTTGCTACTATTCAACAGCATCATAACACCGCTAATGAATATACGACACAAAACATACAGCACAGCCATTGCAGTCTGATTCACGATTCTGAACAAATGAGTCTTACGAGTCAGTTCTTGTTAGTGAATCAGAAACATACAGTGGGGAAAAAAAGTATTTAGTCAGCCACCAATTGTGCAAGTTCTCCCACTTAAAAAGATGAGAGAGGCCTGTAATTTTCATCATAGGTATACCTCAACTATGAGAGACAAAATGAGAAAAAAAAATCTTTTGTCTCTCATAGTTGAGGTATACCTATGATGAAAATTACAGGCCTCTCTCATCTTTTTAAGTGGGAGAACTTGCACAATTGGTGGCTGACTAAATACTTTTTTGCCCCACTGTATAGCGTGAGCAGCTTAATTCGAACAATTCCCAAGCATATCTATCTGTCTGTCTGTCTGTCTGGCTGTCTGTCTTAAGATTAAAGGAACACTCCACTATTTTTGAAAATTTTCCAACTCCCCTAGAGTTAAACAGTTGAGTTTTACCGTTTTCGAATCCATTCAGCCGATCTCCGGGTCTGGCGGTAGCACTTTTAGCTGTAGCTTAGCATAGATCATTGAATCTGATTAGACCGTTAGCATCTCGCTCAAAAATGACCAAAGACTTTCTATATTTTACCTGTTTAAAACTTGACTCTTCTGTAGTTACATCGTGTACTAAGACCGACAGAAAATGAAAAGTTGCGATTTTCTAGGCCGATATGGCTAGGTACTAAACTCTCATTCCGGCGTAATAATCATGGAACTTTGCTGCCGTACCATGGATGCAGCAGGTGCAATGATATTACGCATATGAAAAATATTGAAACTCTTTGGTCATTTTTGAGCGAGATGCTAACGGTCTAATCAGATTCAATGATCTATGCTAACCTACAGCTAAAAGTGCTACCGCCAGACCCGGAGATCGGCTGAATGGATTTGAAAACGGTAAAACTCAACTGTTTAACTATAGGGGAGTTGGAAAATGAGCCTATTTTCTAAAATAGTGGAGTGTTCCTTTAACATTAGTCAGTAGTTGCGTTATTTTTATATTAAGGCCAATTAATGGACTTCAAAAAAGCTTAAATTCAAAATGATCTCAGCTCACAATTTCCTGGAAGATTGATTATTCTGTTGAAATGAATTGTAAGTTGTTTTTAAGAAGGGCTTCCTAAATGGGTAAACTAGATCGGTTTAGGTTTAGTCGTCCTCCTAAATCCAATTTAGTCCTTCAGCTTTGTGCAAAAGATGCAGTTTAAATCCTGAATCTGAGAACTTGAGGCTGTTTTAAGAAATTATATTAAGATCAGATTGGGTCTTGAATGCGCTTCTGTGGTGCGGTTTTGTACAGTTTATAAAAGCATTGTTTGGACACTCCAATAACTGATTGACTCCCATGGCTTTATAACTCACCCTTACATCCTTTTTTTTCATTATACTGCACAGCGCCAAAGTCTTTCCCTTCTCTCTGCATGTTTCTTCTTCTTTTTCAAAGCCAGCCAGCTCCACTCTTCCACCCTCACACCCTTTTCTCTGTTTCTTTTTCCTCTTCACGTCGCTCCTTCTGTTTTCGCTCTGGTCGTGGATTCGCTCTGTCTTCTGGTTGCTGTGGCAGCAGCAGAGCGAGACTCCCTCCCCCTCATCCTCTCGCCATGCCCTGATCTCCCCTCCGACCAACTTTGAGCACGTCTATCACATGAGTCCCGTTTCTGCCGGGCTCTATCTGCAGAAAGAGCCTTCTTCCCAGCAGAGCCTACTTCAGTTCTCCTCTTCCTCCTCCTCTCCTTCCACATCCTCCCTGGGAAGGGTAGGCTAGCAACACCCCGCTTCCTCTTCCTCCCCGTTCTCCATCCCTCCCCCACCACACCCTCCAGGCCCTCAACTTCCTTTCCTCCCTATGTTATACCATCCCTGTCCTGCTGAACTCTTTGTTCATGCTTGAGTGTAGTGACTTTGATTGGTTTAGTTTTTTTGGGTGAATAATTTTTAAATGAGCGATTTTAGGAGAGTTCACCCAAAAATGAATATTGTATCATTTAGCGGTAGCCATTGACTTCTGTAGTAGGAGAATTAATACTATGGAAGTCAATTGGGGACCAGCAACTGTTTGGTTACCAACATTCATCAAAATATATTTTGTGTTAAACGGAAGAAAAACTCATACAGTTTTGAAACAACTAGATGTGAGTAAAGTAAACAGAATTTTCATTTTTGGGTGAAGTATCCCTTTTAAAATCTGTTTGAAAATATGTATTCAAAATAAAAATGCAAAGTTTAAGGTAAAAAAAAGTAAAATCAAACAGTTTTACTAATGTTTGTGTGTGATTTGAAGTTTATGCTTGTTAGTGTTGTGCTGTTAGCTTATCAATATGCTAATGTCAAGCTCTGTTGAAGTCAACTAGCAGTTACAGGCTCTTACCATGAAAGTGGGGCATGATAAACATTAAAATACACACCGCCACTAAACCTAAACTTCATACTTCAGCATGAGACACAAGTGTGATACAATTGCTCAGTGTGAAATTGTTTCCAGATTAGGGCTGTCATAATATCAGATTTATTCAAATTCTGAAAAAAATCAGTGTATCAGTCAAATTAACTTCTAACTTTTTTTCTTTTCGACTAATGAATCACTCATAAAAAAAAAAACAAGTTTAGGGAGGCGGAGAGCCTTTTTTTTTTAACAATCTAAAAAACTCTCACAACTGTTGCACAGTGTTATTGTATTATTGTTAATATACTATTATCATATTTATTTAATGTTAATTAGTGTTTATTTTTATACTTGTAATTTTCATTTTGATTTTAGTGTAGGTTTTAGTAATTTTATATGCGTTTACCATTTGTTTTTTTTTTCATATTTAATTCAGTTTTATATAGAACTTTTAGTACTTCAACTAACAATTTATTTCATTTTTTTAATCTAATATTTTTATTTTAATTCATCTTTATTTCAATTTTTAATTTTAATACTTGTGGTTAGCAATAACTGCATCGTTGTCTTTTTTTATTGTTCGCGTGTGTGTTGGTGTGGCAACTAGCTGTGTTGTTTACGATATCATCATATGTAGTTCTAACATCAATATTTAATTTTTCATATATATCACGGTTATAATCAATATCGGTATATATACTGATATATTGTGACACCACTATTCCAAATAATGCTTGAAAATGCTGTTGATTGAGGTTAACAAAATAAATCAAAAACATTCCTTAAAAAGCGACAAAATGTTTTCTCGGGGTTTATAGAAAATAAAATACATTTATAATAATTTGCACATGAAACGTACTACCCAAACCAAATGTTTGTGCTAACAATAGTCGTCTTGTTTAAAAGAAAGTCAAAAAGAGTGTTTACACACCTATTACACAAGTGCATGACTGTGACGTACTCTATATGTGTCTGACTTCTTGTACCTCTGCTGCAGAGTGTGATGCCCTCTTCTCAGGACGACCTGTCTAAAGACAAGCCACGGCCTCTGTCCAGCATCTCACGGCAACAGAGGAGTAAGACCCACATCACCCGCACTGCCTCAGGTGGGTGCCGTTCCTTAAACACACACAGACAAGCTGAAACTGCCCATCTAAATGCTTGAAATGTATACTTTATTTAAAGGAGGGGGAGATTTTGGAGGAGCAGGGTCGTCTCGCAGTATTTCTGATCAAGATCAAGACTTTGAGAGAGAGGTAAGAACATCTATCATCTACCTTAATGACCTCCCCCGGGATGTCAAATATGGTTTTATTTCATTCGCCCCACATTTTGAAAGCTTCTCGAGATGCTTGATGGATGGTTAGAGGAGCTTTGAGGTGCTTTCGGCCGCGCAGTGAGTTTTCTTGTGTCCTGATTTTGTGGTCTGTAATAACTGTCCCAGTTCTCACAGTAGAACCTGCTACAGCTGTAAACCAATGTTATTTTAGTTTTAGAAAATGATTATTTTAGTATTACATAGTATTTAAGCAATTATATCAATTATTAATATTTATCAATTATATCAGTTTTCATTTTAATTTTAGTATAAGATTTTGTCATTTTATAATCTAATCTTAATCAATGCCATCTCTTGGAAGGCCGGGTTTTTCTATCACTCATCATTAGAACCCATTTTGCACATGGCTCTCGATATTCTGACTAGTATTTGCTCTTATGAAAATGTACCGTAGTTCTTAACTGTAGCATCTGTTATAATAAGGCTAGCTTATTAATCATTACCAGGCCAGTAATGGCTTTTTTTATTAATCTTTTAGCATTTGTTATGAAAAACAACAGCCTGCACATTTAGAAGCAATAGCTACAACATGCCACAGTTGTAATATAAATCTATAGGGAAAAATCTATTCCTTTTAGCAGATCATCTATTATCAATTCTACAAGTAGACACAATTTACCACAATAAATAAGCCTACAATAAAACGTGATAAATTCTAGTAAACGTGGTCATGCGTAGTTTACAAAGATTTTAATATATGTTAGTAGTGCTGGTGCAAGATTGTTTTCTCCTCTTTTCATCAGTCTTTTTAGTTTTATGCGCCTTTTTTTAGATAATGTTTGACTTTCTCCATGTCAGTTTCTCAATAGAATTCAAATAGATCGCAGAACATGTTCTTTCCGAAATTAAATGGTTGGCTTTTTGTTAGCTATTGAACAGACATCAAAGCAAAAGACCAAAATGTTACGTGGAAAATATTTGCCTTTTATATTTAATTAACAAGGTAATATAATTTGTATGAGAACACAACGAACACATTTTCAATGTTTAATAGTCAAATTAAAGTGAATAAATGAAATGAATTAAATGAAACACGGTGACAGTGGTGAGGAAAGATTTAGAAATTGTTAAAAATCACAAACTGTTCTTAAAGTTAATATGTATTTTGTACGATGTTTGTATTATATTTTTCCTCTCACATTTTCTCTGTGTGGCCCACAGTTTAAAGAGCCCTGACTCAGACTATGTTGTGTTGTTATTTCCCAGCTGAAAGAGTCCAAACGGGCCGTGAACAGCATCCTGGTGGACGATGATGATGAGGATGAGGAGGATGTTGAGAGAGTCAGCTGGAGTGGGGAACCTGTGGGAAGTATGCACTCCTTTCTCTGATCTCTGCTACTGTCTGTACCTCATCTGGATGCTCATCAGTTTTTGTTTGTGTTTAGGCATCTCTTGGTCGGTGAAGGAAACTGCCTCCAGTATCCGCTCAGGCAGTGAGCAGAGCTTTCCCAAAATAGACACCACTCCTTCACTGTCCAAACAGGGGTCTGGATACTCCCTGAGCTCCCTGTTTAAAGGTAATCTACAGTGAAGAGTTCTTGGACGTTTTAGTTCAATCATTATAGACTCACCAATCTGATTTTGCTTCTATTCCCTCAGCAAAGAGCAAACCTGGTGCTTTCCAGTCCTTCTCCGAGTGTAAGTTCAAGTCCTTGAAGCATTTAGAATGATTTAGGCCTATATTCTCATTTGTTCGAATTAAGTGTGTTTGTTCACTGTTTTCTAGCTTTTAGCGACACATCTTCTAGAACATACGCACCAGAACTGAGGAAGCCCAAGTCAGATGGAAAGGTAATACCTATGGACATGTTTACACACCGTTCAAACATTTGGGGTCGGTAAGATTTGTAATGTTTTTGTTCAACAAGGCTACATTTATTTGATTAAAAATACAGTAAAACCGTAATATTGTGAAGTATTATTACAATTTAAAATGAATGTTTTGTATTTGAATATATTTTCAAATGTAATTTAATCCTGTGATGGTAAAGCTGAATTTTCAGCATCATTACTCCAGTCTTCAGTGTCACATGAAACATGTTAAAAACAGTCGTGCTGCATAATATTTTTGTAGAAACTCTGATATATTTTTTTCAGGATTGTTTGATGGATAGAAAGATCAAAAGTACAGCATTTATTTGAAAATGTAACATTATAAAATTCTTTACTGTCACTTTTGAATGCATCCTTGCTGAATGAAAGTATTATTTTCTTCCAAAAAAATCAACTTACTGACCCCAAACTTTTGAATGGTAGTGTAAGCTTGTCCAGAAATTTCCACGGTGTAATTCGTTTTTCTATAAGTTTCTAACATTGATTTGTTTTCTAAATGGTCATAGGATGTTGTCAGTGACCTGAGTCCTGAGGAAACCGTGAGGAGAATGCAGAAAGGACGGGTAGGGGGCAGCAAAGAGCTGTATATAGAAAGTATATTTACTGCTATATACTGAAGATATACTGCACTAGAAGGTCTGATATAACAGGATAAAGCCATTTGTTTCTTTCTCATTGTAGTTGATAAGTAGGTGCCGGCCCAGTTATTTCCACTTCACATTTTTAGGAGTCCTCCAAAAAAAAAGAAAGAGAGAACCACACACTCGTAAAATATTTACTGTAATATAATCAAATATTAGTCACGTATTCATATGTTGCTTGCAAAAAAAATAAAAAAAGTATTTTGTCAGAATATATGACCACTTTTGAATGCTTGTACATGGAAAAATAGGCTTTTTGCATCTTATTAAAAGGATTCTTTTACAGGCATTTTCCCTAGAAAAGTTCCAATACTGAAGATATACTGCACTAGAAGGTCTGATATAACAGGATAAAGCCATTTGTTTCTTTCTCATTGTAGTTGATAAGTAGGTGCCGGCCCAGTTATTTCCACTTCACATTTTTAGGAGTCCTCCAAAAAAAAAGAAAGAGAGAACCACACACTCGTAAAATATTTACTGTAATATAATCAAATATTAGTCACGTATTCATATGTTGCTTGCAAAAAAAAAAAAAAAAGTATTTTGTCAGAATATATGACCACTTTTGAATGCTTGTACATGGAAAAATAGGCTTTTTGCATCTTATTAAAAGGATTCTTTTACAGGCATTTTCCCTAGAAAAGTTCCGCTCCCTGCAGGACAAACTTCTGCTGCTGGATGAAGCAGTTGCTGTTTATGATGGCAACGTTATCACTGCTGTGAGCCGCACATCTCTCACATACTCTATATGGAAGCGCCGCTATGACTTTCTGATGATTCATATCAGAAGGAACAGCTTGTGCTTATTCACTGATCTTTTACATTTTCCTACTGCAGGTCTTGATATTTTTAAAAAAGTCATTAAGTAAAGGTGAGATTTTTTTTGTGATCTCACCAGTTCCTTCTCTTTTTTTTTTTCCACAATAAGTGAAATATTTTATAGAAAGTCATGGTTTTTGTTTTTTGTCATTGTTGCAGAAATCCTCTTTCGAGAGTTAATGGCGAGAGATGTGGCTTTGCGTCATTATGTTCACTATTTAAAAGAGATGGGAGAGCAAAAGCTTTTGGTCGAGTTACTGAAGTAAGTTTGCGGTTTATATATTTAACTTCCCCTCGTAGTGAGTAACATGTTAAAAATAGATGTCTACAATGTTTTTGTGCAAGGGCGGTTGGCATCTTTCCATCTATTGCTGTGTGTTTTATTTGAATAACTGTTTATCACGTTGGTCACATGACTGTATTTTAGGGCTCTTGGCAGGACAGAAGATATGGCGGTAGGTACTAACTGCACTTACATACTCAACTGTCATTATAGCTTGTACAAACATCAGTATCCACATGACCATATGTACTTAACCCTCTATAGCAGTGCCGCCTCCAGGTCATATGACTAAATTTGACTCGCTTCAGCAAAATGCACCTCCCAATTCATGGGTGCTTTCTTAAACAGGAGGGGAGAGCCCAGTATTAACTAATTGAAATGCAAACACTTCCTCTTTCATGTTTACACACGTACTGAAGTAGCATATTTTCCCTTGTGAAAAGTAAACCTGTAACCGATGATCCAAACATACGTTGATTGTTACGATAACATTATTTAAGATAATGGAGTCACACTAGGGCATACCAAAAGTATCAGGTGCTAGTACATTGCATTTTAAAATAAAAAGAGAGAGATATGAATTTGTGAGAGAGTTAAAATTCTATAAATTACACAGTCTTGCATTTCCCACTTTTGTAAAGTACTCATTTCTCTTTCCGCAGTGGTACAGTGTTGTCTGAAGGCAACAACTATAAAACTGAAATAATTTTATTTCCGTTATGGTATGTTATCTGAGACCAGATTAAAAATGTATATAAAAAAATAATATTGATTATATTTAAGTCTTCCTCTTTAAGCTGAAAAAAAAAATAGCTTTACATACTTTTACTACATCATAGAGGGTTAATGTCAGTATAAATAACTTACAATTTCATAGAAGTGAAAAGAGGAAGAAAATGGCCTTAACAAAATTAACACGTTTCTGCTTTTGGCTCAGTGACATTATTTGTCTAAAATGAAAGTGAAAAGAGAGGAAGTTGGACATTCTAATAAAAATTTTGGTAACACTTTACAATACGTAGATTTACAATAAACAGATTTGCAACCATATTTATTCATCTTTGTTAACGTTAGTTAATAAAAATACAATTGTTCATTGTTCATGTTAGCTCAGGTTCATTAAATAATATTAACAGATGCAGCTTTTGATTTTAATAATGTATTAGTAAACGTTGGAATTAATGTTTACAATGATTAATAAATGCTTTAAAATTATTTTTCAATGTTTTCATTTCATTTTAACTAATGTTAGCAGGTGGAAACTTGTCAAATACTTCCCTAGTAATTTGTAGTAAAGTTTCTGTTTGATCACACATGTTAAACTGGCTTCCTTTATATTTTAAACAGTTGATGCATTACAAAGAACACTTAAATATTAAGGATGAAAGTCGAAGAAGAGACTTCCTCAAAAGTTGCCTCAGGTAAAGAGCTTTCAGAGGGATTCAACAGAGTTCAGAGTCATCTCCTGCTGACCTTTAATGATCTGTGT